AGCCTGATAGAGCATTGTAGGCTCAGAGGCAATACTCTGCACAGTTGGGGTCCCATCCTCTAGAATGCAGTATATGTATTCAATGACTGATCTTCTTGTAGTGTTTCATCCTCAATAGGAAGAATGCATGGACATAGGAATTAAGGGGTGGGAAGAGTAGTAGCCCCACTTACCATTACTCTCAATGACTCACTGATGGTATTGTGTTTTTTTCCTCCACATAACTTTGGGTTCTGCTGGGTTAGAGGTCCTATCTCCAAAAAGGTTCCACTTTCCCAGAGGGATACAACAAAAGTCCTACTAAATGATAAGCTATAGTTGTCATTTGTGCACTTTGACCTACTGGTGTCCAGGAACCAAAGGCAGGAAGAGAAGTCACCATCTTGGCAAGTAACTGACTCTGATCAGTAGAGGTGGGAGGAATAAGTGTAGAATTCAACTGATCCACTTTGGCCTGTCTTAGTATTCCCTCTCCTATTTGTGCTGATAAATCAACTGGTACAGTGACTCCAGCCGAAGAGGATGGTGACCAGTGACACTGGTCTTTAGGATAGAAGGTCTGAGTCACACTGACAAGTAAGCAGACAGGTCAGCAGAAGGGCTGGTTGAGAGCTCATGGAATCTAAAATGCCTAGTGAAGGAAGGAGACGAGGAGTATCAGGTGGGACCCTGCTGTGACTTCAGCTTTAGGCAGAACAGTTAATCCCACTGACGTCTCTCTTCTAAGATCCACTGGAAAGAGAGATAGACCAGACATCTGGAGGAGCTGCTTGTCCCTTCCATATGGAGATGTGGATCTAAGCAGGAGAGGAGGTGGACTGTTGTAGACTCACAGAAGTACTACCTGGCTTCCCACTCATGGAAAGACTTGCTGCTCAGTGAAGGTAGTATCATCAGCAGAGTGGTCTCCATGTTTCAGCTCCTTCAGAGTCAGCCTTGGTTCTAGAGATTTACTTTGCCTGAGGTCACATTCTGCTGGGGCAGCCTGTACCTGGTGACTGAGTGAAGGGTATGAATGCTGGGCATTTGGGCCTGACACAGAACCCTCTTCATGGGCAATAGTTACTTTAGAGCACCCTGCTAGGTTGGCAAAAGGTTGATCAGACCTGCATTCTCCCTCTGTCCAGTCTCATTTCCTCACTCTTCTCTTCAGCAGTGTTGATTACAAATAAACATCTTATACTTCAAACTCCATCTCTGCCTTGTTTTTGGATTCCTCAACCTGCAAGAGATGGCTGATAGGGATATGTAAATTGTAAAACAAATTAGAAATAGATGAAAAAGAGTAGGGAAATAATAAGGATAGAGACAAAATTGCTTGCTTTAGCCAACATGCATATATCTCCCTGAGTCCTATCCACTGGCTATAGAAAGGCTCCATGTTTTCTAGAAGCCAGAATAAAATGAAACAAGCCAAGTGACCAGTGGCAACCTTGTGACCATATGAAGGACAACAATTCCTCATCCTAAGAGCAGAAAAAAAATTCAGAGAAAGGACACTGTGTAATGAAATGAACAACCTTAACAATTATAATTGTGCTGCGTGGTTAACTAGGTGGCTCATTGCCATTGCCATTTGTTACATTTATTTCAAATGGAATTATAATCAATCACATTATCCTAAGCAGGTTTATTGTTTGTCACTCACGCTACTTAAGCTCTGGATCAGTGAGTATGTATTAGTCATTGGAACCAATTATTCAAGGATGTTTGGTTAAGATGATTTTATTGGAGATGGTGTTAGAACAGAAATGACTAACAGTGTCCCACTTACCATTTTTATTTATTTCATCCTGTGCACCAGGATGTTTTTGCTTGATCTGATGTATTCCTCTTTGAATTCTCCTTCCCTAAAATGGTGATGTTATTCAGTGCAGAAGACAACATGGACAAGTAGAATAAGGGAGGAAATAAGAGAAGAAGAAATAAATGAAACACCAAAGAAATCCTCCAACTGGAGAAATTTTTTCTTGAATAACTGAATTGTGAATTAGTAAAATATTTGGTTTTCTAAATGATTTAACAGATATGTTACTGGTTTCCTTACAAGAAAGTGAACTTGTCTCATTGGACCAATTCTGGGAATGAATTATTCCTTTAAAAAAATCAAACTATTTCTATTGTATCTTATATATCAGCTAAAGAACATTCAAAACTGGGATTATTTTTGGATTTTACTAGATTAGGATGTATGAATAATTAGTGTAATGGATTAGTGTAATAAAATAGAATGTTTGATTTATTAGAACTATATTTCTTTCTTCTTTTTTTTTTTTAAACAGTAGGTTCCAGGGTTAGTGTTTGTAGCCTTGGTTGGCCCATCGGCCTCTGGCATGCTCCAACTTCCTGCCCTTAGAACGGACATAGGGTTTGGTATGGCTATCTTGGGGCCTTGTGGAAATGCCAGTACACCTCCTGGCCCTTGAGAGGACGGAAAGCAGGACGGTGCCACGGCCCTGGGGGGAGTCCAGAGCCTCCGCTCTTGCCTCCAGCCTTGAGGATATGGGTGTGGGCCCAGCTGCTCATGTGCAAAGCACACACCTTCAGTTTGGGCACTTCTTGAACCTGCACCTCATCTCTTATGGCCCCCACAACCACAGCTGTTTTGTTTTCCCGGCCAGGAAGTTTCATCTTCCGGATCATCTAGGAAAGAGACAATGGTGGCCCATTGGTGCGATTCATAAACAACATCTTTAGCACAACCTGGTTGAAGGTAGAGTTAGTTCGTCTGGCCAGAAACCTGTACAGCTTGACCAACAGCCTTAGGTAAATGTCCTGGCGTTTGGGCTCCTTGTGACAAACCTTTAGGTCCTTGTGGTGAATATCAACTCCCATGATAGTGACACCCTCTCGACCAAGAACTCTGTTTCTAAAATTATTACATTTAAATGCAGCACTTAAAGAAATTCTGAGGGTAAAAGAGAAACTTATACTTCCTTTGAGTATCTAAACTCCTGTATTCATTATATATGGCTTTTTAGTTTTGCTTCTTTTTGTTCAATTTTGTTTAATTGTTTTGAAGGGAAATTTAATT